GACGGGCCCCTTCCGTCGACCAGAACCGTCAGCGGTTGTCGCCGAGCTCCCCTCGTCGACCGCTACTCACTTGCCAGGTCGACGGACTGCTCCGTCGACCTCCCGGTCGAGCTGTAGGTCCTGGTCGATGTCCCACCCGTCGCCCAGACCAGTCAGTTGTAGCTGTCGAGCTCCCTGGTCGACAGCAACACCACAGCGGTCCCCTGCAGCTCGACGAAGCCTGTCGAGCAGCTCTCCCACTGTGAACGGTCGGCTGCTACTCCCGTACATCCGACCAAGTCGTCGGCGTTGCCCAAGCGAGGGCGGGGCCAACACTCCATTTCCGTTAACACTCCCCTGCCGCGCTCACGCTTGGGCCTCCAGCCCACACGGCAGTACTCCACGGAGAAAACTCGTCCTCGGCGTGTACCCCACACACAGCACGCCGTCACCGCACCAGCCGTGCAGATGGGCACGGCACCTACTGCTGCACGTCGTCGTCACCGTCGCCGACGTCGGCTAGACGAACTTGGCCGATGGCGACAGAGCACCGGTTGAAAGCCGGAAAGTGCAGCGCCTTCGTCAGGAAGTCCGCCGGCTGCTCGGTGGTCGGGATGTACTTCAGCACAAATTTCCCGCGCCTCACCATGTGCTGCAGCCAGGCGTAGCGTCGCTCCATGTGCTTGAGGTTGCCCGTCAGCCCCAAGCCCTCAGCGACCGTGATTGCCGACTTGTTGTCGACGCGGAGGATGGTCGGCTTCCCAGCGTCGAGCAGCTTGAATTCCGCAAGGAGGAAGCGAAGTCGACGCCCCTCCTTGCCGGCATCCGTGGCCGCCACATACTCCGACTCGGTCGATGACAATGTCGCGCACTTGATGCGCGAGCTCGACCAGGAGACGGCGGCCCCGCCGTAGACGAACACGTAGCCTCCCGTGCTCGTCCGGTTCTGCTTGTCGCCCGCGTCGTCGGCATCGACGTAGCCGATCAGCTCCAACGATTCTGGTCCACCGCCGAACTCCAGGGCGGTGTCGCGGGTGTCAGCAAGGTAGGCGAGGCAGCGGTCGACCTCGCGCCAATGCTGGTCGCTCCTCACCGTGAGGCCGCTCCCCAGCTTGCTGCAGGCGAACGCAATGTCCGGCCTCGTCGTCGTCGCCGCGAACTGCAGCGAGCCGACCTTCTGCCGGTACTCCTCCTCTTCGCGCTCCTGAGCCTCCTCGTCGTCGAACGTCAGCTGCGTGTAGGCGTCGACAGAGACCGGCGTCTTCGGGACTCGACCGCCCTGCTCCTCGTCGATGAAGCGCCTGCGCAGCTTGTCGGCCTAGCCCTGCTGGTGCAGCCACAGCTTCCTGGCCGGCCTGTCGCGCAAGATCTCCAGCCCAAGGTACTTCACCACCGGCGAGATCTCACGCAGCTCGAAGGCGGCCTCCAGCAGCTCCTTCAGCTCCTTCAGCATCGCGGTGCTGCTGCTGGCGGCGAGCAGGTCGTCGACGTAGACCAGCACCCAGCAGGTCACTCCGTCGTCGCCGGCCTTGAAGTAGAGCGCCTCGTCGACCTGGCTCTTCTACCAGCCAGCGCCCAGCAGCACACTGTCGAGAGCCCTGTACCACAGTAGCGGCGACTGCTTCAGCCCGTAGAGGCTCTTCAGCAGCTTGCACACCCGGCCGGTCCCGTCGTCGAAGTATTCCGGCTGGTACATGTAGAGCACTTTGTCGAGCTTGCTCTGCAAGAAAGCGTTCTTCATGTCGAGCTGCTTCAGGTGGAGGTCGAGAACGGCGACGATGCTGAGGAAGATCCTCAGCATGACGTAGCTGCTCACCGGCAAGTACGTCTCGTCGTAGTCGGCACCGTACACCTGCGTGAAGCCCTTCACGACCAGCCTCGCCTTCTCGCGCTCGACGGTGTCGTCGATGCGGTACTTGGTCGTCAGCACCCACCGGTTCTTCATGATGTTCACCCCACGTGGGCGTTCGACCAGCTCCCAAGTGCCCATGCCGATGAGACTGCGGACCTCTTCTTCCATGGCGGCCTTCACCGCCTCGCCCTTCCAGCTCGACAGCGCCTCCTTCACCGTCATCGTGGCGATGTCCCAGCGGTGTTCGGGGTTGGCATGCACGTCAGGGTCAAGCTCCGGCAGGTCTTCATCCTCCTCGGCGTCGTCGTACAACAGGTCGTCGTCGACCTCGTCGAACACCGTGGTGAAGGCAGCTGGCGGTAGGCAGGCGTGGAAGCTCAGCCGCTCCGGTGGCCGTCGAGCTCGACCTGTGCGTCGCAGCTCAGGCTTCGTGATCGGCACTTCAACCACGTCGCTGTCGGTGGACTCCTCACCCGCCGACTGCTCCCCTTCCTCGTCGACGTCCTCATCGTCGACCAGCTGCTTCGACCCTTCGACCGGCTGCTCGTCTGCTGCTGGTTTCGACAGCTCCACTGTCGACCGCCCCGGCTGCTGCTCCCCTGTCGAATGTACCCCTGCTGTTGCCTCCTGTTCGACCGGCTCCCCTGTCTGGTGCTCCCCTGTCGTTGACGGCTTCCCATCCTGGTCGACGAGCTTGGCGCCTTGTCGACCACCGGCGATGCCACGGGCCGGCGCCACAGGCGACGCCTCAAGGCTCCCCTCATCGTCGGTGGTCGATACAGGCCGATTTGCGACGGGGAACGGAGGAGCAAGAGCAGGGGGAAAGGGAAGAACCTCCACAACATCCTCATCAGCAGGCTCGTCGACGTCGGCGAGCAAAGGAACCGTCGCTGTCGAATCCGACGGCGGGTGCGCCTGCGTCCGCCCTGACGCCGGCCCATACTTCGCCTTCCATACCTCCAGCGACAGCGTCTCGTAGAAGATCACCTCGACCAACGTGACCACCCTGTTGTCAGTCAGGTCGAGCACCTCCCAGCCCTTGCTCTCCGACGACACACCCAGGTGAAGCCCCCAGCGAGCTTTCGGCGCCAGCTTCCCACTGCGCTGCTGCTCGGGAACCATGAACTGCACCATGCAGCCCCACACCCGCGCCAGCGTAAGGTCGGGCTTCTTCCCGGTCAGCAGCTGGTACGGAGTCGTCCCCGGCGGCGTCGTCGACCGCTCCAAGCAATTGCGCACCCAGACCGCCTGTCGAAAAGCAAGGTGCCACCAGTGATGCTGCACGCCCATGTGCAGCAGCATCGTCCGCACGGACTCGACGACCGTGCGCATCTCCCGCTCAGCCATGCCATTCTGCTGCGGAGTGTAGGGGCACGTCAGGTCGTGGACGATTCCCTTCCCGTCGACGAAGTCGGTGAACGCCTTCCCGAGGAACTCCCCTCCTCGATCGGAGCGAAGCGACAGCACCGACTTCTTCGTTTGCCGTTCCACCAGCACCAGCCACCGCTGGAACTCCCGCAGCACGTCGCTCTTCTTAGCGACCGGCATTGCCCATACAAATCGAGTATGGCGATCCTTCAGCAGCAGGAAGTACAAGCTGCCATCCTTGGCAGCCACCCGAAATGGCCCGCACAAGTCAATGTGCACGACAGCCAGCGCCTCCGCTGCGTCCGAGCCCTTGGCGGGGAAGATGTGCCGCGCCAGCTTTCCTCCGACGCACGAGACACATGGCGAGTCTGCTCCGGTCGACGACGTGATGTCAAGCCCAGTAGCAACATCATGCTTCGCCGAGCTCTTGATCGTGTCGACGCTGACGTGTGCGAGCCGCGCATGCATCCTATCGGGGGTCGTCTTCGTCGCCGAGACGATCGTCCGCAGAGCCACCACCTCGGTCGACTGCGACTGCGTCGAGCAGGGGCGAAGGTCGGTGCAGAGGACTCGTCCGGTGTAGCGTGCTCGACCGAGCACCTCCCCGCTCGCAGCGACGAGCAGTATCTCGTCGCCGTCGCCCTGCAACTGCACTCCGCTCTCCTTCAGCTGGCCAGCAGTCAAAAGGTTCGCCTGTACGCCCGGAACGTAGAGTACGTCGGGGATGAGGACCCGCTTCCCGGCCTCCCCTTGCAGAGCGACAGTTCCACGACCCTCGACAGGCTGCAATGCCCCGTTGAACCCACGCACGTGCTTCACCCCGTCGCTCGGCCTCATGTCGACGAAGACCGACTTCGTCCCCATCAGGTGGTGGGAGCACCCGCTGTCGAGCAGCACCGCCATCGGGTTGGCCTGCACAGCTGCCGCCACCGCCTGGAAGTCCTCGCCAGCCTCTGGCGCCAGCGAGACCGTCGGCTCCACCACGCCGACCATCGAGCACGACGCCTCCCCGTCGCCTCGGCTCTTGCCGCTGGAGCTGTCGACGTCCTTCGTCGACGATGTCTTCTTCGACGCTTGCTTCTCCTTGCGCGTCTTCTCATCTCGACGGGGGCGACGACTGGCCGATCGACCACGGCCTCCCTTGTTGTCGTCGTCGTCGCTGTCATCGCAGTCGGGGCACTCGAAGGAGAAATGGTCGGGGTCGCCGCAGATCCAGCACTCCCGCCGTCGACCACCACCTCGTCGACTCTTGTCCCGTGTCGACCGCTTCTCGTCGACGTCCTTCGTCGGCCGCCCACCTCCGCTACCACCTCCGCCCGGCTTCCCGTGCTGCCCTTGCTGCTGATTCAGCTTCGTCGATGCAGCGTAGTTCGCCTGCGGAAGGAGCTCTGTGGGCTGTTCGACCTCCTGCATCGCCTCATTTTGAAGAATGTAGCTGGTGATGGAGTCCTCGTCGAGGGACTCACGCGTGCCGGGCACCATCATCATCCTCTTCATGAGATTGTAGCTGCGCGGCAAGCCCTTGACGATGTGGGTGATGTAGGACGCCGTCGAGTATTCGGCGCCCGCCATCCGCATCTCAGCCAGGATCCGTCGAGAACGGTTACAGTAATCCGTCGCCGACTCCTGCTCGCCCATCCGAATGTGAGTCATCTTCTCCTCCAGCTGCCCGATGTACAGGTCGTCCCTGACCTGGTACGTCGATATGATGAAGCGCCATGCCTAGTGACCAGCATCCAGTCGCTCTCGACAACTCCTGAGCGCTAGCTGCACCACCGGCGAGCAGCACCTCGAGATGACCATGAAGGTGAGCAGGTGAGCAGAACGAAACTCCCCGCGCAGCTCGACATCCTCCTCAGGTGGAATTGGCACGGTGCCGTCGGCGAAGCCCTTCAGCCCGGCGACCTCCAGCTGAGGTTCTATCAACTCCCTCCAGGTGATGAGGTCCCGTTGACCTTGCAGCGGTGCGACGGTGATCCGGTCCGGCGAGAATTTGAAGTAGCCGTACGCCGGTGCAATCCCGCCTGCAGTCACATGCGTCGTCGTCGAGAGCCCTCCACCGCTTCGTAGAGGAGAGCGACGTAGAACATCGACGACGACACGCGAGCTGCCTGCAACCGCCGTCGATCGCTGCACTCGCGCCTGGATTCCGTCGACACCACCGTCGACCTTGATCACCCCTCTCTGCCTCGTGCCTTCGCTGCCGCTGACTCGTGCACCACCGTCGACCTCGTCGTCGACGCCACCTTCGTTGCGCACCGGTCGAGGAGAAGTAGGACGGGAAGGGTGTTCCGTCGCCCACTGCGACCGGATGCCCAACTCGGCGATCACCAAGGGGATCGTCCCGTACTCGCCATCCGCGTGGCGTCTCCTCGCGTCAGCCAAACGTGCCTCCAAGGTGTCCGCTACGCCCGCATCAACTACGGGGTTGACCATGGTGACCATCGCTGCTGCCGGCCTACGAACGACTTAGTAGGTGCAAAAGTCGGCTCCTATCTAAAGGTAATCTGCGGGGCCGTCCACGCTCACCGCACCATGTGGAGAGACACTCTACAACGGTAGTGAGCTAGACTACGGGGGTTGGCACGAACTACTAGAGGTGATCGTAGCTTTGCTTGGTTCCTTAGTGCTTGCACATTCACGGGAGAAATTGGCAAGAGTTTCCACTAGCAAAGTTGGAATTCCAGAATGATTAAACAAGCAATGGCAACAATGACTACATCAGGCACCTAGCAACCCTGCAGCTAGTCTGGTCGACCGCCAGCACAGCTCGGTCGACCGCCTGCCAACGTTGCGTAGAGGAGCTGCGCCAGCACTGCAGAAGGGCGACCTGCCAACAGAGCAGGTCGACGGCGTGCCAACGCTGCAGCAGAGCGGCTGTCCAGCGTTGCCCCGAAGAACACAGCAGTGCGCACGCTCGTAGGTGCGCGCAGACGATTGGCCCGACTTGCCTCGTTGGGCATTCGTCGGCTGTTGTCTGCGCCTGACGAGCCACATCAACTTCGGGATTCCAGCCCGCAGTCGCCTGCGCCATCGCAACCTCGACGACGTTCGCGTGCCTCCGCCGAACTCGTCGAGCAGGTTACCCGGTCGACCACCAGGTGCTTCCGGTCGACCACCACTGCTTCTGGTCGACCACCAGGTCCCTCTGGTCGACGACAACTCCCGTCGAGCTACCCCCTGGTCGACGGGCCCCTTCCGTCGAGCAGAACCGTCAGCGGTTGTCGCCGAGCTCCCCTCGTCGACCGCTACTCACTTGCCAGGTCGACGGACTGCTCCGTCGACCTCCCGGTCGAGCTGTAGGTCCTCGTCGACGACCCACCCGTCGCCCAGACCAGTCAGTTGCAGCTGTCGAGCTCCCTGGTCGACAGCAACACCACAGCGGTCCCCTGCAGCTCGACGAAGCCTGTCGAGCAGCTCTCCCACTGCGAACGGTCGGCTGCTACTCCCGTACATCCGACCAAGTCGTCCGTGTTGCCCAAGCTAGGGCGGGGCCAACACTCCATTTCCGTTAACAACCCCGCCCCATTCTCCCGCTTTCCATCACCCCGCCCCATTCTCTCGTTTTCCGTCACCCCGCCCCATTCTCCAGCTTTCCATCACCCCGCCCCATTCTCCCGCTTTCCATCACCCCGCCCCATTCTCCCGCTTTCCATCACCCCGCCCCATTCTCCCTCCTTCCATCACCCCGCCCCATTCTCCCTCCTTCCATCACCCCGCCCCATTCTCCCTCCTTCCATCACCCCGCCCCAATCTCCCGCTTTCCATCACCCCGCCCCATTCTCCCGCTTGCCATCACCCCGTCCCATTCTCCCGCTTTCCATCACCCCGCCCCATTCTCCCGCTTTCCATCACTCCGCCCCATTCTCCCGTTTTGCATCACCCCGGCCCATTCTCCCTCCTTCCATCACCCCGCCCCATTCTCCCTCCTTCCATCACCCCGCCCCATTCTCCCGCTTTCCATCACCCCGCCCCATTCTCCCGCTTTCCATCACCCCGCCCCATTCTCCCGCTTTCCATCACCCCGCCCCATTCTCCCGCTTTCCATCGCCCCGCCCCATTCTCCCGCTTTCCATCACCCCGCCCCATTCTCCCGCTTTCCATCACCCCGCCCCATTCTCCCTCCTTCCATCACCCCGCCCCATTCTCCCTCCTTCCATCACCCCGCCCCATTCTCCCTCCTTCCATCACCCCGCCCCATTCTCCCTCCTTCCATCACCCCGCCCCAATCTCCCGCTTTCCATCACCCCGCCCCATTCTCCCGCTTGCCATCACCCCGCCCCATTCTCCCGCTTTCCATCACCCCGCCCCATTCTCCCGCTTTGCATCACCCCGCCCCATTCTCCCTCCTTCCATCACCCCGCCCCATTCTCCCTCCTTCCATCACCCCGCCCCATTCTCCCGCTTTCCATCACCCCGCCCCATTCTCCCGCTTTCCATCACCCCGCCCCATTCTCCCGCTTTCCATCACCCCGCCCCATTCTCCCGCTTGCCATCACCCCGCCCCATTCTCCTGCTTTCCATCACCCCGCCCGATTCTCCTGCTTTCCATCACCCCACCCCATTCTCCCGCTTTCCATGACCCTGCCCCATTCTCCCGCTTTCCATCACCCCGCCCCATTCTCCCGCTTTCCATCACCCTGCCCCATTCTCCCTCCTTCTATCACCCCACCCCATTCTCCCTCCTTCCATCACCCCGCCCCATTCTCCCGCTTTCCATCACCCCGCCCCATTCTCCCGCTTTCCATCACCCCGCCCCATTCTCCCGCTTTCCATCACCCCGCCCCATTCTCCTGCTTTCCATCACCCCGCCCCATTCTCCCGCTTTCCATCACCCCGCCCCATTCTCCCGCTTTCCATCACCCCGCCCCATTCTCCCGCTTTCCATCACCCCGCCCCATTCTCCCGCTTTGCATCACCCCGCCCCACTCTCCCTCCTTCCACCACACCGCCCCATTCTCCCTCCTTCCAACACCCCGCCACATTCTCCCTCCTTTCATCACCCCGCACCATTCTCCCGCTTTCCATCACCAGGCCCCATTCTCCCTCCTTCCATCACCCCGCCCGATTCTCCAGCTTGCCATCACCCCGCCCCATTCTCCCACTTTCCATCACCCCGCCGCATTCTCCCGCTTTCCATCACCCCGCCCCATTCTCCCGCTTCCCATCACCCCGCCCCATTCTACCGCTTTCCATCACCCCGCCCCATTCTCCCGCTTTCCATCACCCCGCCCCATTCTCCCACTTTCCATCAACCCGGCCCATCCTCCCTCCTTCCATCACCCTGCCCCATTCTCCCGCTTTCCAGCACCCCGCCCCATTCTCCCTCTATCCATCACCCCGCCCCATTCTCCCGCTTCCCATCACCCCGCCCCATTCTCCCGCTTTCCATCACCCCGCCCCACTCTCCCGCTTTCCATCATCCCGCCCCATTCTTCCTCCTTCCATCACCCCGCCCCATTGTCCCTCCTTCCATCGCCCCGCCCCATTCTCCCGCTTTCCATCACCCCGCCCCATTCTCTCGCTTTCCGTCACCTCGCCCCATTCTCCCGCTTTCCATCACCCCGCCCCATTCTCCCGCTTTCCATCACCCCGCCCCATTCTCCCGCTTTCCATCACCCCGCCCCATTCTCCCTCCTTCCATCACCCCGCCCCACTCTCCCTCCTTCCATCACCCCGCCCCATTCTCCCTCCTTCCATCACCCCGCCCCAATCTCCCGCTTTCCATCACCCCGCCCCATTCTCCCGCTTGCCATCACCCCGCCCCATTCTCCCGCTTTCCATCACCCCGCCCCATTCTCCCGCTTTCCATCACTCCGCCCCATTCTCCCGTTTTGCATCACCCCGGCCCATTCTCCCTCCTTCCATCACCCCGCCCCATTCTCCCTCCTTCCATCACCCCACCCCATTCTCCCGCTTTCCATCACCCCGCCCCATTCTCCCGCTTTCCATCACCCGCCCCATTCTCCTGCTTTCCATCACCCCGCCCCATTCTCCCGCTTTCCATCACCCCGCCCCATTCTCCCTCCTTCCATCACCCCGCCCCATTCTCCCGCTTTCCATCACCCCGCCCCATTCTCCCGCTTTCCATCGCCCCGCCCCATTCTCCCTCCTTCCATCACCCCACCCCATTCTCCCTCCTTCCATCACCCCGCCCCATTCTCCCGCTTTCCATCACCCCGCCCCATTCTCCCGCATTCCATCACCCCGCCCCATTCTCCCGCTTGCCATCACCCGCCCCATTCTCCTGCTTTCCATCACCCCGCCCCATTCTCCCGCTTTCCATCACCCCGCCCCATTCTCCCTCCTTCCATCACCCCGCCCCATTCTCCCGCTTTCCATCACCCCGCCCCATTCTCCCGCTTTCCATCGCCCCGCCCCATTCTCCCTCCTTCCATCACCCCGCCCCATTCTCCCGCTTTCCATCACCCCGCCCCATTCTCCCGCTTTCCATCGCCCCGCCCCATTCTCCCGCTTTCCATCACCCCGCCCCATTCTCCCTCCTTCCATCACCCCGCCCCATTGTCCCTCCTTCCATCGCCCCGCCCCATTCTCCCGCTTTCCATCACCCCGCCCCATTCTCCCGCTTTCCATCACCCCGCCCCATTCTCCCGCTTTCCATCACCCCGCCCCATTCTCCCGCTTTCCATCACCCCGCCCCATTCTCCCGCTTTCCATCACCCCGCCCCATTCTCCCGCTTTCCATCACCCCGCCCCATTCTCCCGCTTTCCATCACCCCGTCCCATTCTCCCGCTTTCCATCACCCCGCCCCATTCTCCCGCTTTCCATCGCCCCGCCCCATTCTCCCGCTTTCCATCACCCCGCCCCATTCTCCCTCCTTCCATCGCCCCGCCCCATTCTCCCGCTTTCCATCACCCCGCCCCATTCTCCCGCTTTCCATCACCCCGCCCCATTCTCCCGCTTTCCATCACCCCGCCCCATTCTCCCTCCTTCCATCACCCCGTCCCATTCTCCCTCCTTCCATCACCCCGCCCCATTCTCCCACTTTCCATCACCCCGCCCCATTCTCCCGCTTTCCATCGCCCCGCCCCATTCTCCCGCTTTCCATCACCCCGCCCCATTCTCCCTCCTTCCATCACCCCGCCCCATTGTCCCTCCTTCTATCGCCCCGCCCCATTCTCCCGCTTTCCATCACCCCGCCCCATTCTCCCGCTTTCCATCACCCCGCCCCATTCTCCCGCTTTCCATCACCCCGCCCCATTCTCCCGCTTTCCATCACCCCGCCCCATTCTCCCGCTTTCCATCACCCCGCCCTCCCGCTTTCCATCACCCCGCCCCATTCTCCCGCTTTCCATCACCCCGCCCCATTCTCCCGCTTTCCATCACCCCGCCCCATTCTCCCGCTTGCCATCATGCCACCCCATTCTCCCGCTTTCCATCACCCCGCCCCATTCTCCCGCATTCCATCACACCGCCCCATTCTCTCGCTTGCCATCACCCGCCCCATTCTTCTGCTTTCCATCACCCTGCCCCATTCTCCCGCTTTCCATCACCCCGCCCCATTCTCCCTCCTTCCATCACCCGCCCCATTCTCCCTCCTTCCATCACCCCGCCCCATTCTCCCGCTTTCCATCACCCCGCCCCAATCTCCCGCTTTCCATCACCCCGCCCCATTCTCCCGCTTTCCATCACCCCGCCCCATTCTCCCGCTTTCCATCACCCCGCCCCATTCTCCCTCCTTCCATCACCCCGCCCCATTCTCCCGCTTTCCATCACCCCGCCCCATTCTCCCTCCTTCCATCACCCCGCCCCAATCTCCCGCTATCCATCACCCCGCCCCATTCTCCCGCTTTCCATCACCCCGCCCCATTCTCCCTCCTTCCATCACCCCGCCCCATTCTCCCTCCTTCCATCACCCACCCCATTCTCCTGCTTTCCATCACCCCGCCCCATTCTCCCGCTTTCCATCACCCCGCCCCTATCTCCCTCCTTCCATGACCCGCCCCATTCTCCCTCCTTCCATCACCCCGCCCCATTCTCCCGCTTTCCATCACCCCGCCCCATTCTCCCGCTTTCCATCACCCCGCCCCAATCTCCCGCTTTCCATCACCCCGCCCCATTCTCCCGCTTTCCATCACCCCGCCCCATTCTCCCGCTTGCCATCACCCCGCCCCATTCTCCCGCTTGCCATCACCCCGCCCCATTCTCCCGCTTTCCATCACCCTGCCCCATTCTCCCTCCTTCCATCACCCCGCCCCATTCTCCCACCTTCCATCACCCCGCCCCATTCTACCGCTTTCCATCACCCCGCCCCATTCTCCCGCTTTCCATCACCCCGCCCCATTCTCCCGCTTTCCATCACCCCGCCCCATTCTCCTGCTTTCCATCACCCCGCCCCATTCTCCCGCTTTCCATCACCCCGCCCCATTCTCCCGCTTTCCATCACCCCGACCCATTCTCCCGCTTTCCATCACCCCGCCCCATTCTCCCGCTTTGCATGACCCCGCCCCATTCTCCCTCCTTCCACCACACCGCACAATTCTCCCTCCTTCCAACACCCCGCCCCATTCTCCCGCTTTCCATCACCAGGCCCCATTCTCCCTCCTTCCATCACCCCGCCCGATTCTCCCGCTTGCCATCACCCCGCCCCATTCTCCCACTTTCCATCACCCCGCCCCATTCTCCCGCTTTCCATCACCCCGCCCCATTCTCCCGCTTCCCATCACCCCGCCCCATTCTACCGCTTTCCATCACCCCGCCCCATTCTCCCGCTTTCCATCACCCCGCCCCATTCTCCCACTTTCCATCACCCCGGCCCATCCTCCCTCCTTCCATCACCCCGCCCCATTCTCCCGCTTTCCAGCACCCCGCCCCATTCTCCCTCTTTCCATCACCCCGCCCCATTCTCCCTCTTTCCATCACCCCGCCCCATTCTCCCGCTTCCCATCACCCCGCCCCATTCTCCCGCTTTCCATCACCCCGCCCCACTCTCCTGCTTTCCATCACCCCGCCCCATTCTCCCGCTTTTCAGCACCCCGCCCCATTCTCCCTCTTTCCATCACCCCGCCCCATTCTCCCGCTTCCATCACTCCGCCCCATTCTCCCGCTTTCCATCACCCCGCCCCATTCTCCCTCTTTCCATCACCCCGCCCCATTCTCCCGCGTTCCATCACCCCGCCACACTCTCCCTCTTTCCATCACCCCGCCCCATTCTCCCGCTTTCCATCACCCCGCTCCGTTCTCCCGCTTTCCATCACCCCGCCTCATTCTCCCGCTTTCCATCACCCCGCCCCGTTCTCCCGCTTTCTATCACCCCGCCCCATCCTCCCTCCTTCCATCACCCAGCCCCATTCTCCCGATTTCCATCACCCCGCCCCGTTCTCCCTCTTTCCATCACCCCGCCCCATTCTCCCGCTTTCCATCACCCCGCCCCATTTTCCCGCTTTCCAGCACCCCTCCCCAGTCTCCGTCTTTCCATCACCCCGCGCGATTCTCTCGCTTTCCATCACCCCGCCCCATTCTCCCGCTTCCCATCACTCCGCCCCATTCTCCCGCTTTCCATCACCCCGCCCCAATCTCCCGCTATCCATCACCCCGCCTTATTCTCCCGCTTTCCATCACCCCGCCCCATTCTCCCTCGTTCCATCACTCTGCCCCATTTTCCCGCTTCCATCACCCCGCCCCATTCTCACGCTTTCCATCACCCCGCCCCATCCTCCCGCTTTCCATCACCCCGCCCCATTCTCCCGCTTTCCATCACCCCGCCCCGTTCTCCCTCCTTCCATCACCCCGCCCCATCCTCCCTCCTTCAATCAACCCGCCCTATTCTCCCGCTTTCCATCACCCCGCCCCATTCTCCCGCTATCCATCACCCCGCCTTATTCTTCCGCTTTCAATCACCGCCCCCCATTCTCCTGCGTTCCATCACTCCGCGCCATTCTCCCGCTTCCATCACCCCGCCCCATTCTCCCACTTTCCATCACCCCGCCCCATCCTCCCTCCTTCCATCACCCCGCCCTATTCTCGCGCTTTCCATCACCCCGCCCCATTCTCCCGCTTTCCATCACCCCGCCCCATTCTCCCGCTTTCCATCACCCCGCCCCATTCTCCTGCTTTCATCACCCCGCCCCATTCACCCGCTTTCCATCACCCCACCCCATTCTCCCGCTTTCCATCACCCCGCCCCATTCTCCCGCTTTCCATCACCCCGCCCCATTCTCCCGCTTTCCATCACCCCGCCCCATTCCCCCGCTTTCCATCACCCCGCCCCATTCTCCCGCTTTCCATCACCCCGCCCCATTCTCCCGCTTTCCATCACCCTGCCACATTCTCCCGCTTTCCATCACCTCGCCCCATTCTCCCGCTTTCCATCACCCCGCCCCATTCTCCCGCTTTCCATCACCCCGCCCCATTCTCCCGCGTTCCATCACTCCGCCGCATTCTCCCGCTTTCCATCACCCTGCCCCATTCTCCCGCTTTCCATCACCCCGCCCGATTCTCCCGCTTTCCATCACCCCGCCCCATTCTCCCGCTTTCCATCACCCCGCCCCATTCTCCCGCTTTCCATCACCCCGCCCCATTCTCCCGCTTTCCATCACCCCGCCCCATTCTCCCGCTTTCCATCACCCCGCCCCATTCTCCCGCTTTCCATCACCCCGCCGCATTCTCCCGCTTTCCATCACCCTGCCCCATTCTCCCGCTTTCCATCACCTCGCCCCATTCTCCCGCTTTCCATCACCCCGCCCCATTCTCCCGCTTTCCATCACCCCGCCCCAATCTCGTGCTTTCCATCACTCCGCCCAATTCTCCCGCCTTCCATCACCCCGCCCCATTCTCCAGCTTTCCATCACCCCGCCCCATTCTCCGGCTTTCCATCACCCCGCCCCATTCTCCCGCTTTCCATCACCCCGCCCCATTCTCCCGCTTTCGATCACTCCGCCCCATTCTCCCGCTTTCCATCACCCCGCCCCATTCTCCCGCTTTCCATCACTCCGCCCTTTTCTCTCGCTTTCCATCACCCCGCCCCATTCTCCCGCTTTCCATCACCCCGCCCCATTCTCCCGCTTTCCATCACCCCGCCCCATTCTCACTCCTTCCATCACCCCGCCCCATTCTCCCTCCTTCCATCACCCCGCCCCATTCTCCCGCTTTCCATCACCCCGCCCCATTCTCCCGCTTTCCATCACCCCGCCCCATTCTCCCGCTTTCCATCACCCCGCCCCATTCTCCCGCTTTCCATCACCCCACCCCATTCTCCCGCTTTCGATCACCCCGCCCCATTCTCCCGCTTTCCATCACCCCGCCCCGTTCTCCCGGTTTCCATCACCCCGCCCCATTCTCCCGCTTTCCATCACCCCGCCCCATTCTCCCGTTTTGCATCACCCCGCCCCATTCTCCCGTTTTCCATCACCCCGCCCCATTCTCCCTCCTTCCATCACCCCGCCCCATTCTCCCTCCTTCCATCACCCCGCCCCATTCTCCCGCTTTCCATCACCCCGCCCCATTCTCCCTCCTTCCATCACCCCGCCCCATTCTCCCGCTTTCCATCACCCCGCCCCATTCTCCCGCTTTCCATCACCCCGCCCCATTCTCCCTCCTTCCATCACCCCGCCCCATTCTCCCGCTTTCCATCACCCCGCCCCATTCTCCCTCCTTCCATCACCCCGCCCCATTCTCTCGCTTTCCATCACCCCGCCCCAGTCTCCCGCTTTCCATCACCCCGCCCCATTCTTCCACTTTCCATCACCCCGCCCCATTCTCCCGCGTTCCATCACCCCGCCCCATTCTCCCGCTTTCCATCACCCCACCCCATTCTCCCGCTTTCCATCACCCCGCCCCATTCTCCCGCTTTCCATCACCCCGCCCCATTCTCCCGCTTTCCATCACCCCGCCCCATTCTCCCGCTTTCCATCACCCCGCCCCATTCTCCCGCGTTCCATCACCCCGCCCCATTCTCCCGCTTTCCATCACCCCACCCCATTCTCCCGCTTTCCATCACCCCGCCCCATTCTCCCGCTTTCCATCACCCCGCCCCATTCTCCCGCTTTCCATCACCCCGCCCCATTCTCCCGCGTTCCATCACCCCGCCCCATTCTCCTGCTTTCCATCACCCCGCCCCTTTCTCCCGCTTTCCATCACCCCGCCCCATTCTCCCATCACCCCGCCCCATTCTCCCGCTTTCCATCACCCCGCCCCAATCTCGTGCTTTCCATCACTCCGCCCAATTCTCCCGCCTTCCATCACCCCGCCCCATTCTCCAGCTTTCCATCACCCCGCCCCATTCTCCGGCTTTCCATCACCCCGCCCCATTCTCCCGCTTTCCATCACCCCGCCCCATTCTCCCGCTTTCCATCACCCCGCTCCATTCTCCCGCTTTCCATCACCCCGCCCCATTCTCCTGCTTTCCATCACCCCGCCCCCGCCCCATTCTCCCGCTTTCCATCACCCCGCCCCATTCTCCCGCTTTCCATCACCCCGCCCCATTCTCCTGCTTTCCATCACCCCGCCCCATTCTCCCGCTTTCCATCACCCTGCCCCATTCTCCTGCTTTCCATCACCCCGCCCCATTCTCCCTCCTTCCATCACCCCGCCCCGTTCTCCCGCTTTCCATCACCCCGCCCCATTCTCCTGCTTTCCATCACCCCGCCCCATTCTCCCGCTTTCCATCAACCCCGCCCCATTCTCCCGCTTTCCATCACCCCGCCCCATTCTCCCGCTTTCCATCACCCCGCCCCGTTCTCCCTCCTTCCATCACCCCACCCCATTGTCCCGCTTTCCATTACCCCGCCCCATTCTCCCGCTTTCCATCACCCCGCCCCATTCTCCCGCTTTCCATCACCCCGCCCCATTCTCCCGCTTTCCATCACCCCGCCCCATTCTCCCGCTTTCCATCACCCCGCCCCATTCTCCCGCTTTCCATCACCCCGCCCCATTCTCCCGCTTTCCATCACCCCGCCCCATTCTCCCGCGTTCCATCACCCCGCCCCATTCTCCTGCTTTCCATCACCCCGCCCCTTTCTCCCGCTTTCCATCACCCCGCCCCATTCTCCCATCACCCCGCCCCATTCTCCCGCTTTCCATCACCCCGCCCCGTTCTCCCTCCTTCCATCACCCCGCCCCATTCTCCCGCTTTCCATCACCCTGCCCCATTCTCACGCTTTCCATCACCCCGCCCCATTCTCCCTCCTTCCATCACCCCGCCCCATTCTCCCTCCTTCCATCACCCCGCCCCATTCTCCTGCTTTCCATCACCCCGCCCCATTCTCCCGCTTTCCATCACCCCGCCCCATTCTCCCGCTTTCCATCACCCCGCCCCATTCTCCCGCTTTCCATCACCCCGCCCCATTCTCCCGCTTTCCATCACCCCGCCCCATTCTCCCGCTTTCCATCACCCCGCCCCATTCTCCCGCTTTCCATCACCCCGCCCCATTCTCCCGCTTTCCATCACCCCGCCCCATTCTCCCGCTTTCCATCACCCCGCCCCATTCTCCCGCTTTCCATCACCCCGCCCCATTCTCCCGCTTTCCATCACCCCGCCCCATTCTCCCGCTTTCCATCACCCCGCCCCATTCTCCAGCTTTCCATCACCCCGCCCCATTCTCCGGCTTTCCATCACCCCGCCCCATTCTCCCGCTTTCCATCACCCCGCCCCATTCTCCCGCTTTCCATCACCCCGCTCCATTCTCCCGCTTTCCATCACCCCGCCCCATTCTCCTGCTTTCCATCACCCCGCCCCCGCCCCATTCTCCCGCTTTCCATCACCCCGCCCCATTCTCCCGCTTTCCATCACCCCGCCCCATTCTCCTGCTTTCCATCACCCCGCCCCATTCTCCCGCTTTCCATCACCCTGCCCCATTCTCCTGCTTTCCATCACCCCGCCCCATTCTCCCTCCTTCCATCACCCCGCCCCGTTCTCCCGCTTTCCATCACCCCGCCCCATTCTCCTGCTTTCCATCACCCCGCCCCATTCTCCCGCTTTCCATCACCCCGCCCCATTCTCCCGCTTTCCATCACCCCGCCCCATTCTCCCGCTTTCCATCACCCCGCCCCGTTCTCCCTCCTTCCATCACCCCACCCCATTGTCCCGCTTTCCATTACCCCGCCCCATTCTCCCGCTTTCCATCACCCCGCCCCATTCTCCCGCTTTCCATCACCCCGCCCCATTCTCCCGCTTTCCATCACCCCGCCCCATTCTCCCGCTTTCCATCACCCCGCCCCATTCTCCCGCTTTCCATCACCCCGCCCCATTCTCCCGCTTTCCATCACCCCGCCCCATTCTCCCGCGTTCCATCACCCCGCCCCATTCTCCTGCTTTCCATCACCCCGCCCCTTTCTCCCGCTTTCCATCACCCCGCCCCATTCTCCCATCACCCCGCCCCATTCTCCCGCTTTCCATCACCCCGCCCCGTTCTCCCTCCTTCCATCACCCCGCCCCATTCTCCCGCTTTCCATCACCCTGCCCCATTCTCACGCTTTCCATCACCCCGCCCCATTCTCCCTCCTTCCATCACCCCGCCCCATTCTCCCTCCTTCCATCACCCCGCCCCATTCTCCTGCTTTCCATCACCCCGCCCCATTCTCCCGCTTTCCATCACCCCGCCCCATTCTCCCGCTTTCCATCACCCCGCCCCATTCTCCCGCTTTCCATCACCCCGCCCCATTCTCCCGCTTTCCATCACCCCGCCCCATTCTCCCGCTTTCCATCACCCCGCCCCATTCTCCCGCTTTCCATCACCCCGCCCCATTCTCCCGCTTTCCATCACCCCGCCCCATTCTCCCGCTTTCCATCACCCCGCCCCATTCTCCCGCTTTCCATCACCCCGCCCCATTCTCCCGCTTTCCATCACCCCGCCCCATTCTCCCGCTTTCCATCACCCCGCCCCATTCTCCCGCTTTCCATCACCCCGCCCCATTCTCCCGCTTTCCATCACCCCGCCCCATTCTCCCGCTTTCCATCACCCCGCCCCATTCTCCCGCTTTCCATCACCCCAACCCATTCTCCCGCTTTCGATCACCCCGCCCCATTCTCCCGCTTTCCATCACCCCGCCCCATTCCCCCGCTTTCCATCACCCCGCCCCATTCTCCCGCTTTCCATCACCCCGCCCCATTCTCCCGTTTTCCATCACCCCGCCCCATTCTCCCGTTTTCCATCACCCTGCCCCATTCTCCCTCCTTCCATCACCCCGCCCCATTCTCCCGCTTTCCATCACCCCGCCCCATTCTCCCGCTTTCCATCACCCCGCCCCATTCTCCCTCCTTCCATCACCCCGCCCCATTCTTCCCCTTTCCATCACCCCGCCCCATTCTCCCGCTTTCCATCACCCCGCCCCATTCTCCCTCCTTCCATCACCCCGCCCCATTCTCCCGCTTTCCATCACCCGCCCCATTTTCCCTCCTTCCATCACCCCGCCCCATTCTCCCTCCTTCCATCACCCCGCCCCATTCTCCCTCCTTCCATCACCCCGCCCCATTCTCCCGCTTTCCATCTTCCCGCCCCATTCTCCTGCTTTCCATCTACCCGCCCCATTCTCCTGCTTTCCATCACCCCGCCCCATTCTCCCGCTTTCCATCACCCTGTCCCATTCTCCCGCTTTCCATCACCCCGCCCCATTCTCCCGCTTTCCATCACCCCGCCCCATTCTCCCTCCTTCCATCACCCGGCCCCATTCTCCCTCTTTCCATCACCCGGCCCCATTCTCCCTCCTTCCATCACCGCGCCCCATTCTCCCGCTTTCTATCACCCCGCCCCATTCTCCCGCTTTCCATCAACCCGCCCCATTCTCCCTCCTTCCATCACCCCGACCCATTCTCCCGCTTTCCATCACCCCGCCCCATTCTCCCGCGGGAAGATGGAAAGCGGGAGAATGGGGCGGGGTGATGGAAAGCGGGAGAATGGGGCGGGGTGATGGAAAGCGGGAGAATGGGTCGGGGTGATGGAATGAGGGAGAATGGGGCAGGTTGATGGAAAGCGGGAGAATGGGGCGGGGTGATAGAAAGCGGGAGAATGGGGCGGGGTGATGGAAGGAGGGAGAATGGGGCCGGGTGATGGAAGGAGGGAGAATGGGGCCGGGTGATGGAAGGAGGGAGAATGGGGCGGGGTGATGGAAAGCAGGAGAATGGGGCGGGGTGATGGAAAGCGGGAGAATGGGACGAGGTGATGGAAAGCGGGAGAATGGGGCGGGGTGATGGAAAGCTGGAGAATGGGGCGGGGTGATGGAAAGTGGGAGAATGGGGCCGGGTGATGGAAGGAGGGAGAATGGGGCCGGGTGATGGAAGGAGGGAGAATGGGGCGGGGTGATGGAAAGCAGGAGAATGGGGCGGGGTGATGGAAAGCGGGAGAATGGGACGAGGTGATGGAAAGCGGGAGAATGGGGCGGGGTGATGGAAAGCGGGAGAATGGGGCGGGGTGATGGAAAGTGGGAGAATGGGGCGGGGTGATGGAAAGCGGGAGAATGGGGCGGGGTGATGGAAAGCGGGGAAATGGGGCAGGGTGATGGAAGGAGGGAGAATGGGTCGGGGTGATGGAAGGAGGGAGAATGGGGCGGGGTGATGGAAAGCGGGAGAATGGGGCGGGGTGATGGAAAGTGGGAGAATGGGGCCGGGTGATGGAAGGAGGGAGAATGGGGCCGGGTGATGGAAGGAGGGAGAATGGGGCGGGGTGATGGAAAGCAGGAGAATGGGGCGGGGTGATGGAAAGCGGGAGAATGGGACGAGGTGATGGAAAGCGGGAGAATGGGGCGAGGTGATGGAAAGCGGGAGAATGGGGCGGGGTGATGGAAAGTGGGAGAATGGGGCGGGGTGATGGAAAGCGGGAGAATGGGGCGGGGTGATGGAAAGCGGGGAAATGGGGCAGGGTGATGGAAGGAGGGAGAATGGGTCGGGGTGATGGAAGGAGGGAGAATGGGGCGGGGTGATGGAAAGTGGGAGAATGGGGCGGGGTGATGGAAAGCAGCAGAATGGGGCGGGGTGATGGAAAGCGGGAAAATGGGGCGGGGTGATGGAAAGCGGGGAGAATGGGGCGGGGTGATGGAAAGAAGGAGAATGGGGCGGGATGATGGAAAGCGGGAGAATGGGGAAGGGTGATTGAATGCGGGAGAATGGGGCGGGGTGATGGAAAGCGGGAGCGGGGTGATGGAAAGCGGGAGAATGGGGCGGGGTGATGGAAAGCGGGAGAATGGGGCGGGGTGATGGAAAGCGGGAGAATGGGGCGGGGTGATGGAAAGCGGGAGAATGGGGCGGGGTGATGGAAAGCGGGAGAAGGGGGTGGGGTGATGGAAAGCGGGAGAATTGGGCGGGGTGATGGAAGGAGGGAGAATGAGGCGGGGTGATGGAAGGAGGGAGAATGGGGCGGGGTGACGGAAAGCGGGAGAATGGGGCGGGGTGATGGAAAGCAGGAGAATGGGGCGGGTTGATGGAAAGCGGGAGAATGGGGCGGGGTGATGGAAAGCGGGAGAATGGGGCGGGGTGATGGAAGGAGGGAGAATGGGGCGGGGTGATGGAAGGAGGGAGAATGGGGCGGGGTGATGGAAAGCGGGAGAATGGGGCGGGGTGATAGAAAGCGGCAGAATGGGGCGGGGTGATGGAAGGAGGGAGAATGGAAAGGGGTGATGGAAAGCGGGAGAATAGGGCGGGATGATAGAAAGCGGGAGAATGGGGCGGGATGATGGAAGGAGGGAGAATGGGGCCGGGTGATGGAAGGAGGGAGAATGGGGCGGGGCGATGGAAAGCCGGAGAATGGGAGGGGGTGATGGAAAGCGGGAGAATGGGGCGGGGTGATGGAAAGCGGGAGAATGGGACGGGATGATGGAAAGCAGGAGAATGGGGCGGGGTGATGGAAAGCGGGAGAATGGGGCGGGGTGATGGAAGGAGGAAGAATGGGGCGGGGTGATGGAAAAAGGAAGAATGGGGCGGGGTGATGGAAAACGGGAGAATGGGGCGGGGTGATGGAAAGCTTGAGAATGGGTCGGGGTGATGGAAGGAGGGAGAATGGGGCGGGGTGATGGAAAGCGGGAGAATGGGGCGGGGTGATAGAAAGCGGGAGAATGGGGCGGGGTGATGGAAGGAGGGAGAATGGGGCGGGGTGATGGAAAGCGGGAGAATGGGGCGGGGTGATGGAAAGCGGGAGAATGGGGCGGGGTGATAGAAAGCGGGAGAATGGGGCGGGGTGATGGAAAGCGGGAGAATGGGGCGGGGTGATGGAAGGAGGGAGAATGGGGCGGGGTGATGGAAGGAGGGAGAATGGGGCGGGGTGATGGAAAGCGGGAGAATGGGGCGGGGTGATGGAAAGCAGCAGAATGGGGCGTGGTGATGGAAAGCGGGAGAATGGGGCGGGGTGATGGAAAGCGGGAGAATCGGGTGGGTTGATGGAAAGCGAGAGAATGGGGCGGGGTGATGGAAAGCAGGAGAATCAAACAGGGTGATGGAAAGCGAAAGAATGGGGCGGGGTGCTGGAAAGCAGGAGAATGGGGCGGGGTGCTGGAAAGCGGGAGAATGGGGCGGGGTGCTGGAAAGCGGGAGAATGGGGCAGCGTGATGGAAGGAGGGAGAATGGGTCGTGGTGATGGAAAGCGGGAGAATGGGGCGGGGTGATGGAAAGCGGGAGAATGAGGCGGGGTGATGGAAAGCAGGAGAATGGGGCGGGGTGATGGAAAGTGGGAGAATGGGGCGGGGTGATGGAAAGCAGGAGAATAGGGCGGGTTGATGGAAAGCGGGAGAATGGGGCGGGGTGATGGAAAGCGGGAGAATGGGGCGTGGTGATGGAAGGAGGGAGAATGGGGCGGGGTGATGGAAGGAGGGAGAATGGGGCGGGGTGATGGAAAGCGGGAGAATGGGGAGGGGTGATGGAAAGCGGGAGAATGGGTCGGGGTGATGGAAGGAGGGAGAATGGGGCGGGGTGATGGAAAGCGGGAGAATGGGGCGGGGTGATAGAAAGCGGGAGAATGGGCCGGGGTGATGGAAGGAGGGAGAATGGGGCCGGGTGATGGAAAGCGGGAGAATGGGGCGGGGTGATGGAAAGCGGGAGAATGGGTCGGGGTGATGGAAGGAGGGAGAATGGGGCGGGTTGATGGAAAGCGGGAGAATGGGGCGGGGTGATAGAAAGCGGGAGAATGGGGCGCGGTGATGGAAGGAGGGAGAATGGGGCCGGGTGATGGAAGGAGGGAGAATGGGGCCGGGTGATGGAAGGAGGGAGAATGGGGCGGGGTGATGGAAAGCGGGAGAATGGGGCGGGGTGATGGAAAGCGGGAGAATGGGACAGGGTGATGGAAAGCGGGAGAATGGGGCGGGGTGATGGAAAGCAGGAGAATGGGGCGGGTAGATGGAAAGCAGGAGAATGGGGCGGGAAGATGGAAAGCGGGAGAATGGGGCGGGGTGATGGTAGGAGGGAGAATGGGGCGGGGTGATCGAAAAAGGGAGAATGGGGCGGGGTGATGGAAAGCGGGAGAATGGGGCGGGGTGATGGAAAGCGGGAGAATGGGTCGGGGTGATGGAAGGAGGGAGAATGGGGCGGGTTGATGGAAAGCGGGAGAATGGGGCGGGGTGATAGAAAGCGGGAGAATGGGGCGGGGTGATGGAAGGAGGGAGAATGGGGCCGGGTGATGGAAGGAGGGAGAATGGGGCCGGGTGATGGAAGGAGGGAGAATGGGGCGGGGTGATGGAAAGCAGGAGAATGGGGCGGGGTGATGGAAAGCGGGAGAATGGGACGAGGTGATGGAAAGCGGGAGAATGGGGCGGGGTGATGGAAAGCGGGAGAATGGGGCGGGGTGATGGAAAGTGGGAGAATGGGGCGGGGTGATGGAAAGCGGGAGAATGGGGCGGGGTGATTGAAAGCGGGGAAATGGGGCAGGGTGATGGAAGGAGGGAGAATGGGTCGGGGTGATGGAAGGAGGGAGAATGGGGCGGGGTGATGGAAAGTGGGAGAATGGGGCGGGGTGATGGAAAGCAGCAGAATGGGGCGGGGTGATGGAAAGCGGGAGAATGGGGCGGGGTGATGGAAAGCGGGGAGAATGGGGCGGGGTGATGGAAAGAAGGAGAATGGGGCGGGATGATGGAAAGCGGGAGAATGGGGCAGGGTGATGGAATGCGGGAGAATGGGGCGGGGTGATGGAAAGCGGGAGCGGGGTGATGGAAAGCGGGAGAATGGGGCGGGGTGATGGAAAGCGGGAGAATGGGGCGGGGTGATGGAAAGCGGGAGAACGGGGCGGGGTGATGGAAAGCGGGAGAATGGGACGGGGTGATGGAAAGCGGGAGAAGGGGGCGGGGTGATGGAAAGCGGGAGAATTGGGCGGGGTGATGGAAGAAGGGAGAATGAGGCGGGGTGATGGAAGGAGGGAGAATGGGGCGGGGTGATGGAAAGCGGGAGAATGGGGCGGGGTGATGGAAAGCAGGAGAATGGGGCGGGTTGATGGAAAGCGGGAGAATGGGGCGGGGTGATGGAAAGCGGGAGAATGGGGCGGGGTGATGGAAGGAGGGAGAATGGGGCGGGGTGATGGAAGGAGGGAGAATGGGGCGGGGTGATGGAAAGCGGGAGAATGGGGCGGGGTGATGGAAAGCGGGAGAATGGGGCGGGGTGATGGAAAGCGGGAGAGTGGGGCGGGGTGATGGAAAGCGAGAGAATGGGGCGGGGTGATGGAAAGCGGGAGAATGGGGCGGGGTGATGGAAGGAGGGAGAATGGGGCGGGGTGATGGAAGGAGGGAGAATGGGGCGGGGTGATGGAAAGCGGGAGAATTGGGCGGGGTGATGGAAGGAGGGAGAATGAGGCGGGGTGATGGAAGGAGGGAGAATGGGGCGGGGTGATGGAAAGCGGGAGAATGGGGCGGGGTGATGGAAAGCAGGAGAATGGGGCGGGGTGATGGAAAGTGGGAGAATGGGGCGGGGTGATGGAAAGCGGGAGAATGGGGCGGGGTGATGGAAAGCGGGGAAATGGGGCAGGGTGA